ACTGCATCTCTGCGAAGAAAGGTCAAATCGTTGGGAAATTTTTACAGTAGACTCAGTAAACTATGGCGAACAAAATGTACGCTTCAGATCTTTTTAAAAGTCACTTTCATTTTCGTGCTCCAGTTGTACTAAAAAGTTACGATTCGCTCATATATACAATTCTTTTCTATTTTTGTATACTATACATATATATATATAACATATATTAAGGCCGTTACTTTTTCGTAAATCTCGATTTTCTCAGCCATTTTTCAAGTGATAAAAGGGAATTTTAGATTCCGAAATAGAGGAGACAATTCTCTATTCAACTATGTAAAAACTTTTCCCGTTCTCTTTTGACTAGTGAGTACAATGAGGGACCACCTTAATGAGGTATGAAAAAGCTCAACTAACTGCATAGAGTATCCCACGGGCTAAGGAGCAGGACTTAGCGTCAGCTCTCTTGGAACTCCAGATGAAAATCCTAGCGTGAATGTGTTCTTCACATACGGCAGGCGTTGCCTTATGAAAATTAAACTCACACTGAAGGAACGGAAGCACGTCTACTCACTTTGCAGCTGATCAACCGAGTACCTTTTCTGTGCCGAACCGGGGTTAAGCAACTGAAATATGAGTTTGAGAAAAGAGAAACCTTTAAAAACAACACAGCAGGAGTCACGTCGCGACAATAGCTAGTCGCGCTGAATTTTTGATAAAAAGCGGGACTCACGTGAGTCACATCGCGAGGATAAGGACTCACGCCCAAATATTGGGAAAAATATGGGACTCACGCAGCGACAGCAGGAGTCATGTCGTGAGTTTCGCGAGTGGATTGGAAAAATTCCTTTTCATCGTGAGTTTGTAGTGATCGCGAAAATCGGGACATTTTTCGTGAGTCCAATAGCGATCGGGTTACGCGTTCACGCCATGACTTTTTCCGTGACTCACGTCGCGACTTTGCCGTGAGAGTCGACCTGGGTTGTTTGATCAAAAATAATTCTGCAAGGTGAATGATGCAGCATTTTGTATGTTATTTATACGTTTTTCTCAAGCAACACTTAACGAAAGCCAAGACTATCGACAATCTTGAACAGATCCAATGACACTCCGCATTACTGTCACAACTTCTTGAATGATATGAAAATAAGTAGATTTCTTTCGCTCTATCATGTTGAATTTATTAGTTCAAAAACGAAAATTAAATTTTAACTATGGCAATACAGAGAATAATTGAACTATACGAAGAACTGAACCGAGAAGTGAGTAGAGAATACTCGCTGTTTTTCTCTTTGATGACGATGTTGTCTCAACAATGATCACACATATTTTCAAAGATCGTTCCAGTTCACATTTACATGAAAAGATGTCGAAGATATTGCGAGAGAGCTAATTTCATATGTGAATTGAATGACATAGTTCCTTAAAACCTTTGGAGATTGTTCGCTCTTTTCGTTCAGACTGCTACACGAGTTTAAGCAATATTAATACCGTTCTATAATCTTCATTTGACGGTTTGGCTCAAAATCAACTTATACGCTTAAGACAGCCTTAATGTGTAACGTAGATTCTCCAAGTACTCAATGTCTGAGATTTTCTGTAAACGAAAAAGCGGTTGTAAAACCAAATTTATTTAGGTTACCGTTTGTTACTGTTTAGCTTTTTTCCTACTTTATCGTTAGCTTCATCCACATCTAATTTATTCTTCATCATTTTAACGCACCATTAGACTTTGTGTATATTCAATAACGAACGAACATCTAACAATAAAATTTTCTCATGAGATACAACCTAGTAAATCAGACTAAAACACGAGTGCAATTCACATAAATATAATTTCTTTTAGTAGCGGAAGTGTCCCATCAATCTGTTCCTGAAGCGTAAATATATTTTTCATACCAGATTTCACTGCAAAAGATACTTATCAGACAAAAAAGATCTTTTTCATCTTAGAGTTGTGTGTAACCTATAATGTAATCTATAATGCAAAAATAAATAAATAGATAAATGAAAAAAAACAAACAAAATAATGTTTATTTTCCACGAATTTTTAAGAGATAAAATAATGCGCCCGCTACAGCACCACCAATATGACCAGCACCTAAAAGCAAAAAAGAAAAGTAAATTAAAAAAAGTCCTTATTCGCAGTTGATAGTAACACATGAATCAACAATATCATCATGTAATGAATAAATAACTTACTGCCAATTGTTCCTTGTCGTCCAGTTGCTGCCCGATAGAGATCATAACAAATGTAGGCACCAACACCAACAAATACGGGCATTGGTATGATGAAAAATAGTAAGACTGTATCAAATGGATGAAGAAATGCATATAAAATTGTCATTGCCATTGTGGTACCTAAATAAATTCCGACAAAAAGAATTATAGTTTCTCTTGGAAAAGACAAATCTCTTATAACATGATAATTACCCGAAGCTCCAACGGCTTGTACTCGTGGTCGTTTATCAAAATATTTTTCGTAAAATATGTGTGCTAGAGAACAAGCAATTGCACTGGAAAAAAATAATTGAGTAAAATTTCTCAAGCCAATATTGGCTATAACTAATGGTCCAAAACTCCACATAACGAAACTATTGACAAGAAAATGTGTTAGATCAGCATGACTAAAAGCAGATGTAAGCAATGTCCATATTCTTTTTTCATTGACTACACCATACCAACTAACAGTAAAATTTTTATTCATAAATTTTACTATAGTTTCATCACGATTTGAATATAAATTTAAATAGCTGAATCGCCATAACGCATATACAAGGCCATTAATGCCAATAATAATATATATCAAATTATTTTCATTTACAAATGGAAAAGTGAATGACGATTTTGACGATGAATTATGCGAGCGAGAATTTAACGGAGTATAATCTAGTCTTCGTGCACGACGTTGAGATAAACGGTTAAATAATGAAAATAGATTCAATGATTTACGATTAACGAATAATTTCATTGGATTGGACGATCCTATTAATTGATGATATCGATGTTTAAGTACATAAGAATATCGTTCGAATGATTTAACATTTGCTAGTAGTAAACGAAATAAGTTAGATTTTAATGACAGTGGACGTTTGAGAATATGAAATGATGACGAGGTGTTCGATGATAAAAATGTAACTGCGGTCGAACGAATCAACAAATTCATGAGTGTCTGTTTACTTGATCATAATCTAAAAATTAAACTTATCACTGAGATGAAACTGTTGGAATAGTTTATTCCCACATGGAGACAATTGTGAATACAACAAGAAAGAAATGGATACAGTTGTACTCATTTTATTCAGATGCCTTACTGAAATATGCATGAATTAATAGAAATAAAAGAAAGAAATAAGCAAGAACGAAATTTTACTGGAAAGAAAAACGTCAAAAGTATAACAACATTGTATCAAAGTTCATTCTTCAATAGGATGCTAATATGATGGTACAATTGTGATAATGCCACGTCTAAGTAACAATTTTGAACCTTAGATTTGACACTTTGATACTAGCACTCTTTTTTTCGCTATAGTGTCCCCGAGGATGCCATGCTTTTGATATTTGCCATGCTATGTGATATTGTTCAACCAACATAGACTGTTTTTCTATGCCACTTTGTTTTCCTTGCATTTATTGATAAGTAACAGTAAAAATCAAATGTGTTTTCTAACTGGTTTTTATACAGCTGCACGAAGATATCCACAGACAAACGAGAAAAGACGTTTAGATTGTTGGAACAGACAGAATTGGTCCCTTTTCATAAGAACATTGGGAACCACATAGTTCTGCATATATTTCGATAAATCATAGTCAAATCAACTGTTCTTTAAATAAAAAATAAAATAATAACAAGTAAACAACAAAAAACAAGAACAAGAAACATGTAAACAAAACAAAATTTAGCACAAAACTAACTTTACAATACAATCTCTTTTCACTCTATATTGCCGTATAAAAAGAACAATGAAAATAGATGTGTGACATTTGAACATCATTTTTGATGCCAACAAGCAACATTAAACAAGATTATCACTATCTTTATGACCAGAGAAGATATTTGTTTTCACAACTTTAATCCACATCTGTCGAACCGCTCTGTTTTTGTTGATTCAAATAATGAACACAAATGATCACCAGCTAGGCATTGATTCTGGAATGAAGATCACGTACTCATCAAATTCTTTGTTCCAAGAAAGCATATCTTGGCTGAAGTAAAATATTTTCCACAAGATAAAGGAATTTCCCCTAACTTCCTTCTGTCTAAGATACGAAGTGTTATATCAGTCTCTAGCTCTCTGCACATTCTACTATGCTTCTTAAAGCAACACTGGAGGTTCTATTAATTGAATCTTATTTACTCAAGTTATCTAGCCATCCAATCTTCATTCTACGAGAAGGAAGCGTTGCATTATACAAATCCGACTTTGTACAGTAATTTGAGCTCATACAACCCTTTATTCAACATCTTTTTTTGCATGTGGTCACATAACGTCCAGTTCAGATTGCCATGCTAAACAAACAAACTTGGACGCTGAGCACTATTACTAAGCATTATCAGTGTCTCTGCTGTGAGCATACTATGGAAATCTTCTCATCAGAACTGAATAACTACAGGATTCTCTAACTAGGAGACGAAGCAGTTCTATTAAACCCACTGTTGTTCGTCGCTGATACTACTTTGTCAACATGGCCAAACATCCACGACATATTTACAATTCTTCATCTATTGATTTATTTGACATTGCTTCATATTCACCACTAAGCTTTAACTAAAACAATAAAATAGCAGTTAGAGATCACAGTTCTGATGACACGAAACGGAGCATTCTGGTCACATTCTGCTCATTCATTGACATATACACAGGATAAAACACGTAGAAGTGCTTCTCTGATCAACGTTTAATGATTTGTCTTACGTCTTAGAGGACATGATGATATTAGCTTTTGATCAAGTTTTAATTGAGATTCACTATAAACGAAATACTTATTCTGTCTAGACTCAACTCAAAGAGACATGGACAAGCATTTCTTCCAGTTCAGCATTCGCTCATCTGCCTAGACCGTCACACAAGCGACTGACAAAACAACTTTAACGTGCGTAAAAAAGAACATTTACCGATTTCATCAATACTTGTTGCTTCTGGACTGGGAGAATGTATACTGGACAACAATAACAATATCTCTGCTTCAGCCGAGAATGGACTTTCTTTACATTCAACATCGTTGAAATAGTGAAACTTAGAACAGTGAATAAACACGAGACGGTCGCATTTCCCTGAGCTCTTAGCAAACCTTTACACTTACGCGTTGAACTTTGAGCATGTCTAGCAATGGAGTGTGCATTCAGTTAGAGTTGTTCCACCTGAAATCACAAATATGTGAGAAAAATTACCAGTAAAACATTCAGCTAACCTACTAGATGTTTTCAGTGTTTCTTTCATGAACTTGAATATTCTGTATGAGACATTGAGCCAAAAAGTCAGTATTATATACCATGTTAACAACTTAAGGCAGCTACACACTAGTTAAGTGCGCGACTACAGTAAAGTGCAATAGATATCCAGAAAAGTCATTCTGAACCGGTTTTATTGGTGTTTGAAGTGGTTATCAAAAAATGCCAAACAGCTAGCCAACCTGAATACAGTTTTGATTCCAGTTGACTACTGACATCTGGCGCGTAAGCACACATAAAAAGCAAGATTATTTGAGTTCAATCAAATTAGCAGATTAGACTTTAGTTGATTGTAACATAAGATGAATACCACGATCAATAGAACTGAATTGTTTTGCTTCTTAAAAAAATATGCTGAAGAATATCTTTATGGTAACTTTTCTCCAATTATTTATATTCACGCTGTTGCTTGAGAAAAATAATACGATATATAATCAAATAAAACACATGCAACATGTCGATACCTATGTAACCGTTTATGTAGTGGCGTAACCAGGAAAAAGTCGGTGGCGGTACTCAGCGCCCCCATGCACCCCCTTGGATACGCCACTAGATTTATGTTACGCCTGATCTACCCTGAGCGACTTTTTTGTTAAGCTGATCAAATGGGCTGGTTATAGCGAACAAGATACGTAACCTTATTCACTGGAAGATCTACTTAAAACCATGACTGCACAAAAAATGAACTGAAGCTGTTAAAGAATGTGAATAAGGACGCATGATGGCACTCTCTGTTACGTAGTAATAAATCTAGGGACGCACTATTTTACTTGTTGTATCATTTATCGTGATTGAAAATCAACTTTCACCTACTGGTGTTATAAAAAATTATTTAATTTCTGTATTTTTAGGGCTTCAGTTTAGATTTATTCGTCTCGTGTATTATTGTCAAAAACATGTAGGAAGACACCAGAGTTGATACTAGGTGCTGTTTTATGCATTTTGTGATAATAATTAAATTGATAGTATTTACAAGATTTAAAACTAATCATAATCATCGACAATTATGTCAAAAATTAGACGTGTAACAAAAGAAAAATGATTCTCTAATTCAAAAACAAACATGTTGTGAAAAACGAAGAAGTAATTGTACGCTGTTATAAACCACAAGGTGAGTGTGAACAAACTAAACGTACATTTTTAGATTGAATACAAAAATAATTCTTAGTTAGGAAGATGAGCTTTCAAGATACGCAGCTATAAAAGAGATACGAAAACTATTTCGTAACGAAGTATATTAATAATGGTCAACTAAAATAAGAATCATCATCAATATCACTTGTACGTAGCAATATTCCAAAGTTTTTCTTTTTTTAACTTTCCAAAACACAGAAAAAGCATCGAGTATCGCCCAACGCATCTCGATGGTCAATTTACTGATCGAAGCATAGAGATGCAGATAAATGTTTCTCTCGATGCAACTAGACAGCATTGCCCATGAACTGACATTTTCATCGGGAAAAAGTCGGTGTATTCAAATATATTGGGCAATACATCGACTGATGTAGCTAGCTAACTCGATGCTCTAGCTGGAATATCTAGATAAAAGAGTAAAATATCGACCGATACTTCAGCTAGATATTTCGGCTGGAGTACTTTTACTTGGGTTTGTTGAGCTAATCATGTGAATGTAGCTAACGGGCGAAACAGAATAAATGACCCTTTTCGTCTTTTTTTTACATAACATTTTTATTTTTGATCGTGTAGACTTTTAAATTTCTTTTTAAAAGAGTCGCCATTGCATTTTCTATAAAAATAAAACATATCGAACATTTTTCTATCTACTGTAGAAATAAACAAACATAGATGAAAAAATACTTCGAAAGTTTAATCGCGACAAAACATTTCTTCTGTTACATCCAAATAGAAGAAATTCAATAGCTCTATTTCATCTCCTGGTTCAATGCTGATCTATTATATACGAAAAGAAAGACGACACATCAAAGCATTAGGAAATACATTGTGATTCGACTCTGATTCATGGCACTGTATTTAAAATAACTTTTGTTTCGTTGTTTTCCGTTAGAAAATGGTGGCGATTATTAAATCTTTGCAGTATTTCATCTTTTTTTTTTTATTTCTACAGTAGATAGAAAAATGTTTGGTATGTCTTTTATATAGAGAATGCAATGATGAATCTTTTAAAAAGAAGTTTAAAAGTCTACACGATCAAAAATAAAAATGTTATGTAAAAAATATGAAGAGGATCATTTATTCCATGTTACCCGATAGTATAAAGCAAATATTTCACGAACGATAAAAAATATTAAAAATCTGCGCGATTTATTTATGTCATATTGATTTGCTTATGTGTTATTTCTGTTAATATTAGTTATTGTTTGCTGTTGTGCATATTTATTATCTCTCAGCTGAAGAAGTAATACGTATTGAAATAATTTTATAATACTGTTATGTCGCCACAAAACGCAAAATAACAGTATTGCTGAGAGATACATGGTCTCATTCTACTTCTCTGTACTAAACGTCCACTAGCGACTTCATCATGTAATGTTTATTCAATTAAATTAGATTAAACTAGTAATAGCAACAGAACGTTTATAAACTAGTGTTGAAAAAACGTCACCATCACCTTATTTACCGTTTTGTCAATAACACTGATACGGACAACAATTTTGACAAATCATCAACATTTTCTAACATATTA